TTTTAAAGAAGAGAGATTCTTTTTCTAAGTACTTGGTTTTGGTGACTATTTCAAGAGAGAAAGTCTGATTTGGAGGCACAAAGTGCAGTTTTCCTGCATCATTCCTCTGGCTTCTTGAGGTTTCAGCATGTCAGACTTCTTAGACTTTCAAAACAGGTCTCAACAGCAGTAACTGCCCTTTCCTTGTATCCCTGTGCTCGCTCCCAACCCACGCGGCATGAAACCAGGCTGCTCTTCTCTACCTCCCAGAGACTGGAATAGCCCAGTTTCCCGCTGGCTTCACTGGCCTGCCAGCCACTCTCAGTTTATTTTGTTGCAATCCAAAAACCACACCCTTCTTCAGGCACTGACACATCTCCTGAGTGTGAAACCATTCCCGAAAATGCGGGTCTATGTTCGTCTTCCCTCACTCTGGCCAGGAGAGGTTCCTGCTACACTTCTGGTCTTTAGTCGCCTTGATCTTTGATGTCTCTGTCTCACCTCTTCAAAGGACAGAAGGGCCTGATCCATAACTGAGTTTCCATTGTGTTACGTAGGACTAACCATCCTTTAGGATGTCTCATTCCAGTAATCTGATGTGCCATAGACAGAGCTGAAGCAGAACTGATACTATCAACAGACAGAATTCCTGTTTTGGGTGTTGACAAAATTCTGCACATCCAGAATGATGCATGTCCTACTTGCCACAAAGCTTATTTATTTATTTAAAAGTGGATAAAGACTTGTCTTCTTAGATACAGAAAAAAAAGGAGAAAAATATTCTCCAGAAAGTTCTGTCTTCATCGTTATTGAACCACGCCCTGTCCTCTTCATATAAGAAATATTGCCAAAGCCACAATCTTTCATCATGTGGTTCCTTTTAAATAGCCTCCTAGGTACTAAAGGTCAGGGTGATTTAAAAAAAATAACCTGGTAGTATAAAAGAACTTTTTTTAAATGCAAAAAGACAAACAGAAATCCTACGCAAACTTGCCATAAATACAAGGGATGAGGATGATGATGAGTGGAATAAACTACGCTCACATTGTGTTCACCTGCTTTACTTTGTCTCAAGTTTTGTTCAGTTCAAAACTCTAATATAAAAATAGAATTACTTCGTTCATTGCAATTCTGACTCCACTCTAATAGCCCTTTCCCATAGATTTTTCTTCCAGCTTCACTGGGAGTATTCACACAATGACTGCAGCCTTAGCTTTGTAGATATTTTTATCTATCCTCACGACTGAGCTTATTGCCAATAGTGGTTCTACCACCTAACTTAGGTGAAGGAAGAAAAATTTCAGACTCTCTCTTTTTTTTTTTTTTATTAACTTTGTACAAAATTTTCTTCACATTATTTCAACAAAGAAGTATTTTGGAGGGTGGGTATTTCCTATATTTGACATCTGTCCAAAATTGAATAGTTTGATACTCTTTAGAAATAGCTAGTTCTTTTTTCTATAAATATTAGCTTATTTCTATGCCACAATTTTGAATGGCTTTCAAGGCTGAAAATTCAGGTACTTTGAAGGTGATTCACAAGCAAACCAGGTATCTCTGCCTTGGAGATGGCACTGTTGAGCCATGCCAGGATGGGCAGGATGGATGCCTGAGATGTCTGAGGGCAATGAAGGGTTTAGTGTAATTGAATTAATCACCACTGCCTGCTGAAGCCTCCAGCACAAGTTGTGTTCATGATGTGTGTGAGTGTGTGTGTCTGTGGTGCTTGGTTACAGACCTTTGTACATTCCTAACCAATTCTTTGAACCTTCATTATCCAGCTCTCCAAATTTTTAAAGGCTATCTAATACCAAGCTTTATTTTTAAATGGTCAGTCTATAGCAGACTGTGTTATTGATTGGTAATTTTACTATGGCAGTGTGCATGAGTCACAGTCAGGTGACTGTGCATATTGTAAAGAAAGATGATTAAAGAGCTCAAATCTACTTTCTTCTTTAATTTCCCTCCTACTGTAAAACATTCTGTATTCTCTGGGACCCAAGAGACTTTCTCACCGGAGGACAAGTGCGCATAAAAAAAGAGCTAAAAAACAGGGTTACAAAAGATGTTGAAATCATAAGGTTCTGCTTTAAACCCATAGCATTTTTTTTTATATAACTGAGGGTTGTTGCCACTGTTTGAGAGCATGGCTGGACAGACGAGAGCTGAGAAACCTGCCTTAAAGCCCGTCTCATATATTCCTGAAACTGCTTTTCCTTTTTCTTAGCAAAGGAGAAGCAGCACATCAGGCCAAGCCCTGCGCATTCCTGGGGGCAGTGGGGCTGCAGAGGCAGCACACTCCTCTCTCCTCCTGCCCACCCCAAGGCAGAGGCTGCCTCACTGCTCATGGGTGGCTGGCGAAGCCTTGGCCTTGCCCTGTGTCTGGTCCTCAGCCAGGCTGGCAGGAGGACAGGTCAGGGTGCCCCAAGCACAGCATCCCTCTCCCTGCTTCCCCCAAGGCCCAGCTCTGGCTGGCTGTCCCCAGCCCTCATGCCTCCCTCCTTTACCCTCCTTGTCCCTCCCCGCAGCACCATTTCCTCTGTGCCATGGACACCAGGACCCCTCTACCACCTGCTGCCTGCCACACACCTCCTCTTTCCTCCTGCAGCCTGCCCTGAAAAACAAACCACCACCCCCAAAACCCACATTTTTTCCAAGCAACCCTCCCACTTTATGTTTGCCTCACCCTCTCCCTCATTATCCTGAGCCTTGCTTTTGTTTGTCTTGGCTATTTTGGGCTGGAGGCTCTTTGGGGAAGGGAATACAGTTTAAGTGTCGCCTGCTCAGGATGTGATGTGTTCAATTTCCTTCCGGCTGAGAGAAGCTGAATTGATAAATGAAGCATAAACGGGCTGAGAAGTATCTACCTGAGTGTGAGCACCAGGTTAGCTGAATCAGCTTAAACAGGTATAATTCATGGAGCAGGCATAACTTTATGTTTAGGGAAAAAAAATCCTATGTTAAAAGGCACAGGTAATGGTTTAATGTTGAAGTTCCCAAGGAAGCCCAGTATAGGCTCTACTGTAGTAAAGTACAGCACATTCATTTGGTAGCTACAGATTAACTACTCTGTGGCTCTGAGCCCCTTCTTCAGAATTGTAATTCATGAAGGACCACAAATGTTTAATGTTATTTACAATGAGATTTACATATAATTGGATAAATATGGAAATATAAATATACTAGGAAGCGAGTGTGTTTCCTCTAGCCAGAAGTGTTGATGTGATTCAACTGATACATTTTTGAACTATATGACTACTTGATACTAAACTACCAATTGCTAATTTGTATTAAATAGAGCTAACCTAGCAAGGATTAGGAGAAAAATTATTATAACAGGTGTGTGGGTTTCTTCATTTTTCTACCAGTAAGATGATTGTTCTCATTTTAATACCCACAACACCCTAAACCTCCACACCTGGCAGAATTATGGAAACATCTGGTCTCTGTTTTGTTGTTACCATCTTTTAAGCCTTTTAATTATATGTAAAAGCAGTAGCACTTGTAAAAGCATGTAAATTATTATAAATTAATCGACACAAAAGTAGGAATTTTTTGTGTGTTCAGCACCATTTCTCAGCTGCACTGATGAATGAGATGCTAATATATTGCATGTGAAATATAAAAGAGAGTTTATTCCTTTTGATACAAAAAAAAAGTGATGTGAGAATTCAGTGAAAAATGAAACCTGAGTATTTTAAAGCAATGTCTCATCTATACTCTTGGTATGAGAGCACTTCTGATGAGCATGGATCATATCTACCAGAAATCTTGTTTCTCATTCTTTGCTTAGGATCCTCTCATCTGTAATAGAGGAATATTTGTCATACAAGGTTAATGCTGATGGCTTTTCCTTCCTTTACAAAAGGGAAAAGCATATGTTGAATACTGAAGGTTTAAAGAAAAAAAAGAGAGTACAGTCTCTCTCTGCAGCCACCAAAGCTTTTGGCTTGCACTGTGAAAGATCCATGCTCCTTAAAATTATGTGACCTGATAACAACTTTCATACATTCCCTGTTCCCATTTTTGGGAGCTCATCTCTTTGCAGGTGCCTCATTCTGCAACTGAGGGAAATGGTAAAAGATTTTTTTTTTTTTTTTATGTGACCTCTCTGTGCTTCCTTCTTTTAAACATAGAGACAACATGTGAGGTTTTCTAAGCCCATTAGGACCATGCATCATCTTTCCTCCATGAAATTACAAGCTGTGGTTACTGCAGAGGTTGTGAGCTCTCCAAGAATGATGCAGGGTCAAGAGGGATGCTGGGCCAAATGTGTCTTTGTTGTTCCTGCTTCAGAGTCAAGAGTAAAACACAAGTCAAAAAGTAAACTGAAAAATTTAATTGTTTTATAAAATAAGATTAGGAAATTCTGTGTAAAAACCCAGCTTCTTAAATATGGTACATTCACTTTCTCACAGAATATTTAAATATTCAGGTCACTTATGCTATATTTTCACTGAAGTAGAGTTAAAAATCATTGGATAAATTAAAACATCCCTACCAAATATACCACAACTTATACAAATAAAACTAAGCAATAATACTTTTTTTTTTTTTTTTTAAATACAAAATGTAAAGAAATTAGTAACTCTTAGAGCATGCTACAAAATTTTGCCAGAAAAATATATGGGATCATTTTTGTTTAACTAGAAAATATACAGCGTGCTTTTAATCTCTCTTCCTAAAATTCAGTCTCATACAATTTCCATTTAACTTAATAAATATGTACAACAAAAATGTTTATCCCTCAAATAATATAAATAGCAAATACTGTAGTAGAGCCTGGTCCAGCATTCTGTTCTCATCTAGCGACGATAGTGGGGCTTTTCAACTCTGAATGTGCAAAACTGCAGCATCAGGCTCTTAGTGTTACCAACAAGTTAATAGCTTTTTTTATTAAAAAAAACAACAACCTCCAAGAACACTGCAAAAGACTTAGAGCTATTCCAGTCAGGCACTTCTATAAATAT